GGAAATATATTGTTTAAAACATCTAAAAAATCTTGAACACCAGAATTAAAATCTTAATTGCAGCCCCATCATTTTCTTTTTGCGTTCTGTTCCTTGACATGGCAGTTCTCATTAAACGGTGGGACTGCTTGAATTTTGGAAGTAAAATCAGCCAAACTGTCATAAATCTTTGAAGAACTCAAAGTCTCTGTGAACATCTGCAGGCGCTCTCAGCTCAGACCTGGTCAGACAGAAGTGAGGACCACGGAGCAGGATCAGCTGGTGATCAGTTACTGCACCGCTGCATTCAGAGAGGAAAATCACTTCAAGTTTTCATTACTTCTGTGCACAAAATTCACTTTTCAAAGAATCTCCTCACACTGATGGGGYGTCCGGGGGTTCTCCCCCAGGAAATTTTGATGAAATGAACTAAAATTCATGTAGCTGGTAAAAAAAAGTGCTACTCAGAGTGTTTGCTGACCTAGTATAACCAAAAGGACAACTATAGTACAGCGTAAATTAATAAGTCTAATTATACAGAGGATACTAAATAAATACTCAAAGGTCTTGCCGTATATGTTTTTTATTACACAAACAGGTCTGAGGAGGATCGCAGCTCGTCATGCGTCCTCACAGTTGAGTTCTCGGCCTCAGCTACAGGATGTAGTTAAAGCTCGAAATATCACTTCTGAGAGAAACTACAATTAATTTGATGGTAACGATACAAGACGTGTAATTTCCAGATGAAACTCCAGAGAACTCGCAGCACGGATTAAAAATGATTAAATAATTGGGGGGCTCAGAAAAGCGAGGGCTTTAATTATAATTTGTTACATGAGAACAAAGGAGGATTTTATCCAGTCAGGTTGTAGGATCTGGTTTTGTAGTCTGACTGAGGTTCAGAACCTGGAGAGCAAATATAAAACTCTTGGTGCTGGAACCTTTCTTTACTTCCTGTTTTATTTTGTAGAGTCAAGACTGAACGAGCTCAATTATTTCAGCAACAGGAAGCTCAAATATTGTTTTGTTTATTTCACATTGCAGTAAATATCTGCGGTCCACTTCCTGTCTGTAGTTTCTGCTGCTGCATGAGGTCTGAGGAGCAGGACCGGCCCGTGGTGTAGGCAGTGTAGGCAAACACTAAGGGCACCGTCTATTTAGGGGTGGGGTGCCACAAATGGGGCAAGAAAACAAGGTTTTTCTCAGCCTGCTTTGTTCCTACAGGGTGTTTCATGGTAAAAGTATTATGATGCAGTTGAGACTCAATTCATCCCATTAAAAATAATGAGTTTCAGTTCTGATCTCAGATAAAGTCAGTTTAAAGTCTGGCTTTCAGTCTTCTACCTTCATAAAATACTGATTTTATGTTTTTAAAATAAATTAGTCCCAAGAATGTAGTAAAATGCTCCTCAAATGGCTGGAAAATGCAGAGTTTTGAGT